TTGGTTTTTCGAGACAGGGTTTCTCTGTGGCTTTGGAGCCTGTCCTGGAACTAGCTCTGTAGACCAGGCTGGTCTCGAACTCACACAGATCCGCCTGCCTCTGCCTCCCGAGTGCTGGGATTAAAGGCGTGTGCCACCATCGCCCGGCAGTTTCCTTTATTTTTAATTTTTATTACCAAAATACCCCTTATTTACACTTAAAAAGTGAAAGACATAGGAAGTTATAAACAGGAAAGTATGTATAATTTCACAACTCAGAAGTATAATTCTGTATAATCTTTTCAAGAATACTTATTTTACAGAGATAATCATTCTGACATGACATTTTTCCTTTTGTTTTTTTCAAATACTGTAACATAAATATTTACTCATAAACTCATCCACAATCAAGTCTTCCATTGTATGAAGGAAGCATTTATTTGTACATAATAATGTTGAACATGACGGTGTGGCAATCAAGCGCAGGTTTTGTTCAGATACCAGCTGTGTGGCCTTTAACATTAACAACACCAAGAATAATGAAAACAGCTGCATAGACAAGAGTTGTCAAGCAAGCTGTCCTTGGAAAGTACTGCCTACAGCACTGGACTTGGTCTGAAGTCTCTGGGACTTGAGATTTGTAGAGAAATTCCACTCCTGCCTAAATGTTAAGATTGGCTCTCATTGTCCAAGACATTTATGCAAATAATACAAAATTTTGAACATATTGTTTGCTTCTGGGAGCCTTGGAAATTTTGTGCATGCCAGGAAAATGGTGCCTATGTGGCCACCGTCCAATAACGCATGGGTATAAGGTACCCAACAAATTCACAATACTTCACTCATCAAGACTCGTTGCTGGAAAAATCAGGATCTTCCATGTGACAACTGGAAGGCTCTCAGGAGTCTGGGCTTGATTTCCCAGAGATTCTGCCACACACTCTTTACCTTCAGAGAACATGCGTATAATGGACATGTTCCGCACGCTATTCTCTGACAGGCACTTTTTACTTTATAGTACTACCTAGATATCTCTCCATGTCAAACATATAGTTTTAATACACTTGTGTGTGTGAGAGAGTGATGGAGGAAGGTAATTGGTTAATTATAATAAACCAACTGCTTGGCCTCATAGCTTAGAACATAGGTGGGTGGAATAAACAGAATAGGATGCTGGGTGGAAGAGGAAGTGAGGTCAGACTCTGCTCTGCTCCCGGAGAGACCCGACAGCTCTGCTGGAGCAGAGACGCCATGCTCAACTCTCCCAGGATAGACAGAGGCTAGAATCTTCCCAGTAAGCGCACCTTGGGGTGCTTACACACATTATTAGAAATGGGCTAGTCCAGGTGCGAGAATTAGCCTGTAAGGGCTAGAGTTCATGGGCCAAGCAGT